CCTGTGCTGTTTTCTTTTCCCTTTAACAAAACCTGACTTTCCTGACCACATCTTTAAGCCAAATTCCCCTTTCCACTTCCATCCCCATCTCCCTGCCCCGCTTCCCTCCCAGGGAAGGCTCAGGGACTGGGAGCTCCTGCCTGATGCTGCCCCTGCTCCTTGTTCCCAGGTTTTCCTTAGGAATTCCCAATCCCAGGCACACTTACCCTCTCCCCATCCTCTCCAGGAGCCCCTGGGGGGCCGTGGGGGCCTGGCTCTCCCTGCAAAAAAAGCAGAAAATGCTGCAGAGGAGGTGCAAACCCTCTGGCAATGGAAACCACCAGGGAATGGGGATGAACCAAGGCATGGATTTGAATTTTCTGTCTGTGCTGGAGGTCCCTGGACCCTCAGAGCTGCCACTCTCTCTGCTCCAGGGAGGGGAGGGACATCCTGCCAAAAAACCCACTTTCCTCCATTTTTTAAATTATAAATTGTAATTTCAAGCAATTCCCAGCCCGTGCAACAGCAGTTTTTGCCTCTTGCTTTGGATTTTTAGGCTGCATTGCATTAAGGTGATTTTTTCCACCCCATCCCAATCTGGAGCAGCCCCAGGAGGATCCTGCAGAGGGATTTTGCAGAGGGATCCTGCAGAGGGATTTTGCAGCTCCCTGGGATGTGAGGGTGCTGTGACATCCCACAGGCTCTTTCATCCTCTCCTGTGCCTCATCCCAGTCCCTCCCAGCCTCCTCCTCCTCCTCCTCTCACAAAAGGAAGAACACTCACCCTGTTTCCCTTCTCACCAGGCAAACCAGCCAAGCCATCAAAGCCTCGGTCACCCTGAAAGCAAAACCAGTCAAAAACACATTTTAAACCAGTTTCAAACCATTTCAAACACATTTCCAGCTGTATTTGAGCACCCTTCCTGTTTATTTCCTTTCTTTGTCGAGGAAGGATCAATTTTCTCCCTCAGACATTCAGCCTTCCATCAGACCAAGGATGATCTCAAAGTTATGGATTAAAACAAAGGAAAAAAAACCCAAAAAACACCTCCAAGTCTGTAGTAGTTTTGGTTTGTTAATTTGAGATTTTGTTAATTTGGAGATTTTCTTTGATGGTGTATTAATGAGGGTGGTGGGTTTTAGTGTTGGTTAATTATTAGTGTATTTACTTTTTGTTGTAAGGTAGGATAGGAGAAAGGTAAAGTAGGTTTAAAACTTAAATGGTATAAAGAAAAATTTATTAACAGTAACTAAAAGAGAGAGTAATGACAATTAGGATAAAATTAGGGTAAAAGTTGTTATTATCTCATGTAAAAACCACCACAGTGTCATTTGGAGCTAAACTCTTCCCTCTTCCCCCAGCTGAAATGCTTTTCCATGTGAATTTCCAGCACAGCAGCTTCTTCCCTGCTTGATAATTCTGGCAGATCGCAGGACATTGAAGGGATTTTGTCTCCAATAAAAAATTATAGTGGGGATTAAAATTCCTCACCATTTCCTCACCTGCTTAAGAGGTGGTTTTTGGTGCTTCTACTCTAGAGACTTCCCAGCCACTTGTTCTGTTTGTTTTTTGTAATTGGGATTCTGAAGTGTTTGCTCTACAACTGCAGCATATTTCATCCAGCAGTTGAAAAAAGTGGCATTAAAAAAACCCCAAAAATAGGAAAAGAAAAGGGAAAATTGCTATTCTGCCTTCCAGGAGTGTGTTTAACTTCCCCCTCTTAACCTCCGTGTTCCATGAAGAGTTTTTGTCTTCACAGGAACCTCTGGACCAGCTCACAACCTCATCCAGGCAAGCTGGGCTCCTTCTCCATGGGTCCCTCAGCTCATTCCTGCTGAAGGGAAGGTGCAAATTCCCCAAATCCATAAAAACCTGGCCCTACCTTTGGTCCTGTCTGGCCTGGCATCCCCCGGGCACCGTCACTGCCAGCTCGTCCCTGCAACACAGAACACCAAAGTCAAATCCAGAGGGTAACACAGAACCACAACTGGGTTTAGCTAAGCCAGAGAGAGGGTTTATTTAAGCCAGGCAGCTCCTCCTGGTGAGGGAAAAATCCCTGTTTTGTGTTTGAAACAACATCCTGGGGTCAATGAGAGGTGGGAGATGAATGGCAGCAAAGCCACTTCACCACATGGGCCATGGTCGTTGGTTTTATGTGAAAAAATAAAATCTCCCAGCACATTTGAAGAGATGCTAATGATGATGGCTGCAAATTAAAATGAGAGTTTCTGTTTCCAGGAAGGCAGAAGTGGGTCACACACGAGACTTGCTCGTTCCTTCCTCTGGCAAGTTGAGTAATGGTGAGCCAGAGGGTGGTGTGAAATAAAAAACAGAATTAGGGGTGGAAACAGAGCAGGATTTACACCTGATCCATTCCTGGGACTGGGTTCTGCCAGGAGTGGGGACTCCAAACCAGTTCAAAGCATTTGTGCAGCTGCAACCCCAACACCAGGGAGCCAAAAAAACCCCCAGGATAAAAGAGTGGGATGAGCAGCTTTGAATTCCCCCCACACTGTTTGGATTTTAACTCCCATCCTTCTTTGTGCCCTCCCAGATTTTAACTCCTGTCCTGGTTTCTGTCCTCCCAGATTTTAATTCTCCTCCTCATTTCTGTCCTCCCAGTTTTCAACTCCCATCCTCATTTTCATCCTCCCAAACTTTAACTCTTCTCCTCATGTGTGTCCTCACAGATTCCAACTCCCATTTCCATTCATGTCCCAAATTTTAACTCCCATTCTCATTTGTGTCCTCCCAAATTTTAACTCCCATCTTTGTGCCCTCCCAGATTTAACTCCCATCCTGGTTTCTGTCCTCCCAAACTTTAACTCTCCTCCTCATTTGTGTCCTCCCCGATTTCAACCCCTATCCTTCTCTCCTCTGAGATTTAACTCCTATCCTGGTGTCCTCCCAGATTTTAACTCCCATCCTGGTTTCTGTCCTCCCAAACTTTAACTCTCCTCCTCATTTGTGTCCCAAATTTTAACTCCCATCCTTGTCAGATTTTAACTCCCACCCTGATTTCTGTCCTCCCAAATTTTAACTCTCCTCCCAGATTTCAACTCCCAAATTTGTGTCCTCCCAAATTTCAACTCCCAGCCTTCCCTCCTCTGAGATTTTAACTCCTATCCTGGTGTCCTCCCAGATTTTAACTCCCATCCTCGTGCCCTTCCAGATTTAGCTTCCACCCTGATTTTTACCCTCCCAGATTTAACTCCCACCCTGATTTTTACCCTCCCAAATTTTCACTCTCATCCTGGTTTGTGTCCCCCAGGATGGCCGAGCTCAGCCTGGCCGCCGGCCGCCTCTTGTGCAACGCCCTCGGTGCAGAGGAATGGGAGGAATTGTTTGGCAGCAGGAGCAGTTTCCAGCAGGAATTGCAGCTCCTGCCTGCTCAGCACAGCTGCCAGGACACTCACCCTGCGGCCTGGCTTCCCTGCAGGACCGGGAGGACCTTGGATGCCTCGTGGACCCTGCAAGGAATCAAGGAGAGAGGAGGAAATGTCACCTCAAGGAAGAAATGTCACCTCAAAACCCAGAGATCAGTGCCCACTTCAGGCCCTGCTGGGGCTCTCAGGGCCACCAGGGCTCCAAAATGAATCCCTGGAGCAGAGCCTGTGGTTCCAAACACACAGGGAAGGCTCAGGGCATCTCCAGGCAGGAATTGGAGGTGTTTATCCATGGGGAAGCTTTGGCAAGCAGGTGGTGGAGATGCATCCCATAATTCACTTCCCTTGCCATCAGAAAATGGGAACTTTCCCTCAGTGCAGGATATAAGGCTTGGAAGAACAATATCCTGAGCATTAGTGAATTCTCCACACTTCAAATTATCTTTTATGTGCAAGACTCCTCCGTGGGTGTTCTTCCAGGAAGGGAGCTGCAGAGTTTTACACTGCTGGCTTCAAACCACGTCCAGAGCCTGCACTCAGACATTTGGAGGGACATTTCCATGCCAAACACGTGTTCCCACAGCCTCCTGCTCCCAGCTGGCACGGGGTGACTGAATCCCTGCTGCCCAGCAGCCTCTCAGGCAGGACTGGCTGCTCCAGCCTCGTTTCTCCATCTCCCCCAGTTCCACACTCACCTGAGGTCCCATTTCTCCAGCTTCTCCCTTCAGTCCTCCACTGCCTGGGGGTCCCTTTGGACAGAGAAGAGGATTTATTAGATTTTTGCTCCAAGAGAGCCAGAGAAGAAGATTTCACATTAAGGAAAGGCCATTCATGGACCCAGAGCCCACAAGGAGCTGGAGCTGCTGGGTTGGCTCCATCCTCACCAATTCCATCACTCCCCAGCTCCATTCCCTCATCTTCATCCTCACCAAATCCATTACTCCTCAGTTCCATGCCCCCAGTTCCATCTCCCAATTCTATCATTCACTAGTTCCACCTCTCCAGTTTCATCCCCCCAGTTCCATCTCCCCATTTCCATCCCCCAATTCCATCCCACCAATTCCATCCCCCCAATACCATTATTCCCCATTTCCATTCCCCAATTCCATCATTCCTCATTTCTATCCCCCCAATTCCTCCCCAATTCCATCCCCCCAATACCATTATTCCCCATTTCCATTCCCCAATTCCATCATTCCTCATTTCTATCCCCCCAATTCTTCCCCAGTTCCATCCCCCAGTTCCATCACTCCCCATTTCCATCTCCCCAGTTCTATCTCCCAATTCCATCCCATCATTTCCACCCCCACAATTCCATCAACCCCCATTTCCATCCCCCAATTCCATCCCACCATTTCCATCCCCTCAATTCCATAATTTCCCATTTCCACCCCTCCAATTCCATTCCCCCATTTCCATCACCCCAATTCCATCACTCCCCAATTCCATCCCCCCAATTCCATCACTCCCCAATTCCATCTCCCATTTCCATCCCCTCATTTCCCTCACTCACCATCGGGCCCGGCCGCCCCGTCAGCCCCATGGGTCCCGCAGGTCCCCTCAGCGCCAGCTGCAACAGAAGGACAAACAGGGCTCACCTTGTGACAAAGCCACCCCTGGGCCACAGCCACAGCTCTCCCCACACCCACAAACCCCTGGAGCAACATCCACATCCCCAGGGAATCGCAGATTCCATCCCACCCACAACGGGCAAGCAGCTTCTCCTGGCCCAGATTTGCTGTGCCCCATCCCTGGTGGGGGTCCAAGGCCAGGCTGGGACACTTGGAGCCACCTGGGGTCATGGAAAGTGTCCCTGCCCATGGAAGAGCTTGGAATGAGATGGGCTTTAAGCTCCCTCCCACCCCAAAGCATTCTGTTATTCTATGAAAGCCCCTGGACTGTCCATGAATCTGCTGAGAGGACATAAATATTTATGGCCCCACTTCAATTCAAGAGAAATTTTTTTTCTTTATTGTCCTGGTGGTTCAATTTTAGAGGAATTTTTCCCTTTTTTTCTTTGGTTAACATGCTCCAAACTGAGCTCCAATTCAAACTGAACACAGGGGGCTTTTAGCTCCATAATTAAGGAGTCGTGTTAACCATGCATCAACCCAGTAATTTCCACGGTGGGAAATGGAGCTGGGCCATGCTTTAAAACATCCCTCAGACAATTTGTTCCCTCGTGACAATCCAACACTTCCAAAGAGTTGTAATTATCTGTGTACTCCAGTAATTAAAATCTACCCAGTGACTGAGCTTGGAAAGGCAGAAATATTGCACAAATGCTGGGTTCTGTGGCATCTTTTTACAACACCCCATTAAAAGGGAGATGCTGTGAACCACTGCTGGCTGCAACTACATTCAGTGCCTAATGAAAGCCAAATTTTAAGGGGATAAATCAACCTAATAATGCAATTAACAGCAGTGATAATGAGAAAAACAAACCCAAAATAGGAAAAGGTTGTGCTTGCTGCAGGACCCTGGTTTCCAATCCTGTAGTTCCATACAAAAATGACATTTATTTCCCTTCCTGCATCATGGTTTTCAGCCAAAATGCTGAAGTTCATGAAAAAATTGATTTTTGTCCTTTCTAGAAATATTCACCTTTTCATCCATAGTCCAAAAGTTACCCAGGGTTTATTTGAGTATTACATTTTTTCCCCAAACATGAACATTTAAATAAAAAGGGACTTTAAATGAGGGGAGAGAGACTATTTATTTTTTGGTAAATCACAATTTTCAGCAGGGAGAAGAAAAAATAAAAGAACAAAAGCAGATGCTTCTCATGAAGCATTTCTCAGGTCAAACCCTCTATTTCCCAGGAAAATAAAATGCTGATGGAAAAACACTGGGCAGGCTGGAAATTAAGACTGACAAGGTAACACCGGGAACATAATCCAGGATATTATTGGCAGCACAAGGTTAATGGACAGGAAAATGCAGTGGCTGGGAGGATCAGGACTCTGCCTGAATCTGTAAAAATTCCAATCCAGCTCCTTTGGAAAAGGATGGAAAGCAGAAAACTCCCAGTTAAGGCAAACACCTCATTAAAAACCCACCAGGGGCAGGTGCTACCCATGGGGGGAGATCCCAATAGATTTTATCCCATATAAAGGTGAAATAAATGGAATTTTTAGCTTACTTTATCCCCAAAAATTCTGTTTTAAAATCTGCAGAAAGCTCAGAGCGACAAAGCAGCTCCAGCCACACATCCCAGCTGCAGCCAGATGTGGGTTCTGGAGCTGTCCCCAAATAAAACAGCCCCAAAGCTGTGTCCCTTTGGGAACTGCCACCCTAAAAGCTGTTCTCCTTCATGGTGTGTCTGCAGCAGAATTGGGTCCCTTTGGGGCAAACAGAGCAGTTTGGGGACTCTGGGGTTCCCAATCTCTGGTTTTTAACATCAGCACTCAGGAAAGCTCCCATGAGCACCCAGGGGAGAACAATTTCAGAGCTCCACTGGCTAAAAGTGAAGTTTTATTTTGAAGAGATGAGTGCAGAGCCTTTCCCACTGAGGTGTCCATCCAGGCAGGGAGCAGGAGCTGGGCTGGGAATGTGCCAATCTTGTTTGGCAGGGATGATTATTTGGACATCAATCAATGATGTCATCCAGGGAAAGAAATGTTCCAGGGATGGTCACCATGTATTCCCAAATAAATATATGAAATTACAAATCTGCCTGGTGAGGTTCTGGGAGCAGCTTCTATCGGTGACATTGGTTTCATTATGAGGATTTACTGGGGGGAAAATCATACAAAAATAAAAAAATGCTTGGAGCACAGCTGCTTATAGGGGCCCTCAAAATAAAAATATGCCAAGGTCAGCAGGTCTCCCAGAGATCTGCAGGAAATTAAAGCCAGCTTTGCATCAACTGGTGGTTAATAAACCCAAATCATGCAGGTGCAACCCCATGGCAGGTGAGAGGTTCTACCAGCAGCACTGGGGACTCTTGGGGATTTTTTGCAGGTTGAGTTTTTGCAAGACAATGGCCACATTCAGCTCCAGATTTAACTCCCACCCTGATTTTTACCCTCCCAAATTTTCACAATCCTGCCTGCTTGTACTAATGGATAATGGACATTGTTCACAAAAAATGGACAATGGACATGTTCAGAAATGGGGCTGGTACATCCTTGAGAAAGATACAAGAAGAAGAATCATCAAGACTCAGCAAGTTTGTCAGCAAGTTTGAGAAAGTGAGAGAAAAGAGAAGCAATGGATAGGCCAGACAACCACAGCAAGACACGTGAAAAACTGAAAGATCCAATCAGCATTCTATATTAGATGTGTGAACAGCTAGGATTAACCAATCATGTATTAGCTAGAGATGTGTGAAGAGCAGACACTTATTATAAATTTAGCTCTTTTGGAGATAATACATCTGGCTTCAGTGGATCACATTGATCATGGTGTGATGTCCCATTGCTGATCCTCACACCACACAGGGGCTGAGCGTGGTCACAGAGGTGTGAGAGGTTCATTGTGCCATTGCAGGGAGCTGTGGCAGGCACTGCAGCTGGCAGCACTCACCCTGGCCTGCTGCAGGATGGCCTGGGCCTGCGCCTCCTGTGCTGACACCATGGGTCCCTTGGAGCCGGCGTCGCCTCCGCCGCTGAAGCGAAACTGGGGGAACAAGGTGGGGACAAAGCAGGTCACAGCTCTGTCCCTGCAGCCTGAGCAGCTCTGTTCAGCATGACTGCCCTGAGCCCATCCCAGTCTATCCC